GAAGAGGACAGGGCCGGGGGCCTTCATCTCTGAACACCACTAAGAGCTTTCTCAACACATCAGGCTCTGCTTTTGGCTGAAGAACCACCCCAAGGGTTTTCACTGAAGTTATTCAAAGTGTTAGGTGCTCATAAGTACATGTGAATGACTAACCCTGAACAGGGATTTGACCTTGGGATCAGTGATTCTGCATGCTATGAAAACAAAAGGTGCGGATTGAAACCTCGGTGCTTCCACCAAGGGGCAGGTTCTAGCCATGGCTCCAGTAGACCCAAAGATGAAGAGGAAGGACCAGCAAACCCAAAGTCTCTTTCCTCCCTGCTTCAGCTTACCAATACAGACTTTGAAGACCAGCAGACCTGGACTGGGGTTACTGCCTCTGTCACTGACGGCTGTGTGACTTCAAAAGAATTGCCTTAACTCTCTGAGCCTCAGCATCCCCTCTGAAAAATGGAGCTGACTGTAAACCCTTAGGAATATCATGTTATAAGTCACATGCTTAAACATCACTCGACAGGTAATCAATATTAAAACAATTCTAGCTGCTGCTATTATTATTTTTATAATTTTCACTTTTTATCATTATTATTATTATTAGCAACACCTCTAAGGAACCTTCTGGCTTTGATATGCTCTGATCCAAGAACTGATCTTTCGCCAGCTATAACTCTGAAAGAAAAGAAACTATTCTCAGAAAAGCAGCCAAAGGTCACAGAGGCACGATACCCTGGATATTGGTGTCGGAGTGAAACCTCAGCTCAGACCTCCTCTTTTAATGTCTTCTTCACATCTGCCAACAAGAGCCTCTATTTAAATTCTGTAAGTCCCCTACATACAAGTACGTTTATAAGTCTAACTCATTTGTAAGTCCAACAAAGTGAGCCTGGGTACCCAATTAACACAATTGGCTATATAGTACTGTATTGTAATAGGTTTATGAAACTTTTCATACAGATGGTACATAAAAAACCAACAAACATAAAAAATAAAGAAAACATCTTTAATCTTACAGTGTAGTACCTTGAAGAGTACAGGACAACAGCTGGCACACAGAGGCGTGCTTGCATCTTTGAAAGTTCACAACTCGAAGGTTCGTAGGGAGGGGACTTACTGTACCATGGCGACAAGACTGTCACTGCCTGCTATTTAAGCTGATCTCCCATAGTCCCTTGAGCTTAAAATGCTAACAGGTAAGTATAAACTGCCTTCTAGCTTGCTCTGAGGGTTGAAAGTGTCAGAGTGTTAATCTCTCAGTTGTGTCCAACTCTTTGGATCCCATGGACTGTAGCGCACCAGGCTCTTTTGTCCGTGGAATTCTCCAGGCCAGAATACTGACGTGGGCTGCCATTCCCTTCTCCAGGGGATCTTTCTGATCCAGGAGTCAAACCCAGGTGTCCCTCTTTGCAGGCGGATTCTCTACTGTCTGAGCCACTCACACTCAAATGCAACGGACGCAGCAGACCGGCTGACATCCCGGCAACACCTGTGACCTGGCTTCAGGCCAGCTCCCTGACGTTCACCTTCCCCAGCAAGTGAGGCATTACCTTCTCTGCTGCCATTTCAACCCTTACTAAACAGTATCAGGGAGCGAAGGGGCCTCACGGAGTGCCTGGCATAACATAGGCAGGAGGAAGTGTGTGTGTGAAAGTCATTCAGTCGTGCCTGACTCTTTGCGGCCCCATGGACTGCAGTCCGCCAGGCTCCTCTCTGTCCATGGGGTTCTCCAGGCAAGAATACTGGAGTGGGTAGCCTATCCCTTCTCCAGAAAGTCTTCCCAACCCAGGAATCAAGCTGGGGTCTCCTGCATTGCAGGGGGATTCTTTACCAGCTGAGCTACCAGGGAAGCCCAGGCAGCAGGAAGTGGTGGATAAAACCAAGGGCTCTGGCAGCACATAGACTTGATTCAAATCCCGGTTTTACAGCCAAGTAACTGTGGTCTTTGGCCAGTTACCTAACCTCTGTGCGTCAGTTTCCTCATTTGTAAAATGAGGACATAGAAGTACCTACCTCTGGGAGTTATAGAGAATGAACAGTCCCTGTTATAGCAAACACAGCTAATGTTAGCTGCTGTTATTATGATGACCATAGTAACTGTAAATTGGTTATAAAAGTATAGATAAAGGACCGATATTTTCCTGCCAGGGAGACTGACAAAGGCTTCATGGATAAGGTGATATTTGAGTTGGAGCTGGAAGGGTGGGTAGGATTTCCACAGGCGGAAAACAGGGAATGGTGCGGGCTGTTTCCAGTTTCCTAATCTGTAAATCCAGGTCATTTTCATAACCACCCTATGAAAGGAAAGTGAAGTCGCTCAGTCGTGTCTGACTCTTTGCGACCCTGTGGACTGTATATAGCCCACCAGGCTCCTCCGTCCATGGGATTCTCCAGGCAAAAATACTGGAGTCGGTTGCCATTTCCTTCTCCAGGGATCTTCCTGACCCAGGGATCAAACCCAGGTCTTCCGCATTGCAGGCAGAAGCTTTAACCTCTGAGCCACCAGGGAAGCCTATAGGATGAACTTAATACGGATGTGTGAAGGAATTACATGAGTTTCCCCATGATATAATACCACAAGGGCTTCCCTGGTGGCTCAGATGGTAAAGAATCCGCCTTCAATGCAGGAGACCTGGGTTCGATCCCTGGGTTGGGAAGATCCCCTGGAGGAGGGCATGGCAACCCACTCCATTATTCTTGCCTGGAGAATCCCATGGACAGAGGAGCCTGGCAGGCTACAGTCCATGGGGTTGCAAAGAGTCAGACATGACTGGGTGACTAAGCATGCACACGTAATACCACCAAGTGATAGAACTGGGGCTGGAAGCCAGGTCTCCCAGATTGCCAAGCCTGTGCTTTAACACTCTACTGTGTCTCTCTTTTTGTACCAAATTCTGTCCTGAAGGGTAGCTACTTATGGGAATGTTTTCCCCGCCTCCCTCCTAAACTCCTTTCGGGAAGAGCCATCTCAATGACCCAAATCGCTCCTGTCCCACCCAGCACAGGCATGCATATAGCTATGCAAATAGCTCAGCTGAAATTCCTACTTGCTACACAGAAGAAACTGAGGTCCAACTCTTGCAGTTTGAGGTGCAGCTTCCAGAGTCAGAGACCCTCGGGGATGCTAGTCATCAGCAGTTCAGCCTGCTGGCCTCTTTCAGACCACCCTCCCTCAACAATCAGAATTCACTCTCTGCTGGGGTGGGCCAGGGCGGGGCTGTAACTCAGGGCACACTCTTGTTTCTAAGGTCATCCTGCTGACCAAGGTGGACTTGTGTCCTCTTAATGGTTTCCCCAAAGGTAAGAGACAACACAGGCGCAGTCCACCCAGTCTCAAGCCCACAGCAAGCAAAAATCCTGTTTGCTGGAGGACTCCACCCCTGGCCACCACTGATTGGACCAATGTAGACACCTGACCCAAGCTGGGCCAATCAGATCCTCCCTCCTTGGAAGGTGGGTTTAAGAGTTCTGGCATCTTTCAAGCCTCACTGTGCCCTTCCTGCCCTTGGGTTCTATGAGCTACCATGTAGCCTTATATTAATTTTTGCTTTTGCTTAAACTTCTCTGAAATGTATTTTATTTCTTGCAACCAGAAGAGCCTGAACAAAACCAAGGAGGAAAGAGCGAGCTTCCCTTTAGAAACCCCTTTCCCAACCCCCAGGTGGAGTTAACTTCTTCCTCTGGTCTGTGCATCTTCACCTGTTGCTGTTTGTTACCATGAGATATTTCTGAGTCAAGCAGTGAATCAAATCCCTCCTGCATGCCTAGTGCTGGGCTAGGTGCTTTTTCGTTGATTTATGCTGCCCTAGACAACTGAGCAACTTCAATTTCACTTTTCACTTTCATGCACGGGAGAAGGAAATGGCGACCCACTTCAGTATTCTTGCCTGGAGAATCCCAGGGATGGGGGAGCCTGGTGGGCTGCTGTCTATGGGGTAGCATAGAGTCAGACATGACTGAAGCGACTTAGCAGCAGCAGCAGAATGAAGGGTGGAGGGAGGTATTACTACCATCATCCTACCCATAAGAGAAGCTCTGAGGGTTAGTTAAGCCTTATGTCCAAGGTTACTGAGGTGGGAGCAGGTAGGGATTTGAAGATTGGTCTTCTTTCCTTTATCCCTACTCCCCCCACCCTCTTAGGTCAGTTCATCACCCTTTGTTCACATGCCTGTCTGACACCTCAATTCTTAAGCTCTTTGGGAGAGTCAGTATGACTTATTTATCTTTGATCTGGCAGGAAGATATTTCTGTAATAAATAACTGACTTGAGGATTAAAATGAAAACTTATTAGACACCTCATCAGGGAGCATGTTCTGTGTCTTCTTAGATTCTGTGTTTGTCTATTTGGCATCCATTCACCACAAGTCTAATTATATGAACTCTAGTTTCTTATTTTCCGTATTTTCGATGCTCTGGCATTTGTGACCTTGCTACCTGGGGAGAAACTGCCTCTCAGAGTTACCCAATTCTTAGAGATAGCAAAGGAGCATGCAGTCTGGGATGTTCACGGTAGCATCTGCAGTCACCCCAGATTAGAAACAATCTAAACAGCCAACAATAGGAGGTTCTGTCCCACAGTGATGGAACAGCTCAACAGATTGGGCAATCATTCAGAAAGCATGCTTCCAACCACCACTCAGTGACATAGAGGAATAGTCCATCAACAAGGTTAAGAAAAACAACTAAGATAGAAAACTCTTTGAGCTCAAATTTGGAATACTGGAAAGAGACGGGAGAAACAGGAACAAAGGTTGGCTCCAAGTAACTGAGCTGGTGATTTTTTTTTAAGTCAAACCTTCTTAGGGGGAATGAATTCCTTTTTATGTATTTCAGTGAACATTTCTTTTGATTACACATTCTCTTGTATGCATGGAGGGGCTGCCTGTTTCTGCCAGTGATAAGCACACAGACCCTGGATGTATCTGTTAGCCAATACTGCCCCGTATGACTGTCTCATTAGAAAATATAAAATTCCAAACCTAAAAAAAAAAATAAAAGCTCTTGCCTTGTAGGAGAAGGAAGCCTCTCTCGCGGGGTTGGCACTGCTTGTGGGCAGGAGCTGCTGGAGCTGCAGGGCTGCACCGTGAGCTCCGTCCATGGCGGGCTCAGGGCACAGACCAGCTGGCCTGGATCTGGAGCTGCTGCTAAGCCATCGTTCCTGGCGGGGTTCACCTCCTTCCACCAGCCGTCGTCTTCTCACGTGGAAAGAGTACTTCAAGGCTCTTTTGGCCAATTTACAGCCTTTTCCTCATCTTCACTCAGAGACGTGCCAGTTCCTAAGTTTCTTCTCAGGCAGACAGATGGGGACGCGTTTCCTGATTCTCGTGGTGCCCTAGCAGGAGGGGAAGAACATTAAAAATGCAGGTACAGTGAAACATTGAGCCGGATTTGTTACCTGAGAAGAGATTACCATCAGGACAAAACACAAACTGCCATGAGAAGTGAGGCCATTTAAAAAATTATATCGTGCCTTTGGTCACTTAGTAAAGATATGGCTCACCTACCTCAAAACCATCTTCCCCAGTCCTTTAAAATCCCCTTTCCTCTTCTCCTTCACTTCCTTCCTTCTATCATATGTGTGTGTGTGTGTGTGTGTGTTAGTTGCTCAGTCATGTCCGACTCTTTGCCACCCCATGGACTGTAGCCTGCCAGGCTCCTCTGTCCATGGAATTCTCCAGGCAAGAATACTGGAGTGGGTTGCCATTTCCTTCTTCAGGGTATCTTCCTGACCTCGGGACTGAACTGGAATCTCCTGCATTGCAGGCAGATTCTTCACCATCTAAGCCACAAGGGAAGCCCTCCTTCCATCATATCCTAATTTAAATGCTACCTTTCCATAGGTTCCCCTACAGAAGAAGAACACTGCCTGTATCTACTTCTCTAGGATTCCAAAAAAGAAAAGAAAAAAATTCCACTGCCATAAAAAACAAACCATCTGTATTCTGACTTAGAAAGATGGAATGAGAAGGAAAGTTATCTCTATGGAAGAGGGACAAACTGGCCTGCTCCGAGGGTCTGCCTAGGGTGATATAACGTCGGACCAGGAGGCAGAAGACCTAAGGGACCAGATCGTTTTGCCTCTGGGAGTCTCAGCTGCCTCATCTGCAGAGCAGGGGTAATAATATGGCCTCAAGTAAAACCAGCAATGATGGAAATTCCCATTAACTTCATTGGACTGACATTTTCAGGGCATCTCAAGCTTTTCTACCAAATAAAGAAGAAAGAGAAAGTACACCCGTAGTGTTTTGGGGAGCATGGCCAAAACACCTACAACAAGTGCTAAGGGTTTCTTTGAGGTTCATGTATAAAAAAAATAAAAAGAAGCATACAAATTAGTTTTCTACTTACAAAGTCTGTTATATTAATATAAAAATATTTTACATTACTTTTGACCTGTCACATGCTTATCTGTTTCACCTTGGCCAAGTCATTTAACTTTTTAGCAACTTTCTCCTCCTATGAAATATGGATATTCCATGTCCATGTGTTGTGAGAATTTGGTGAAATAATGCATACAAAATGCATGTGGTCACAGCAAATGGTCAATGAATGTCAGTTATAATTCGTATTAGTTTTATTCTTACCAGTTTATTGAATTTACCTATGAATACACCTTTCTTTGTCTCAAGCAACAAATGTTTGAGGGTTTACTACATTCCAAACAGACAAAGTTTCTGATGTGCTTCAAGGCATCAGAAAGATGCCTCCTATGGCTACCCACTCCAGTATTCTTACCTGGAAAGTCCCATGGACAGAGGAGCCTTTTGGGCTACAGTCCACGGGGTTGCAAAGAGTTGGGCATGACTTAGTGACTAAACCACCACCATCCTACCAGTAGCCTCCAGTTCCCTCTGTTTTCTAGCCCCAGGCCCAGGAATTCTGGCTCCTGGTGTGAACAGCACAGTCCTATGATATAGGACTGACACTGCATTCAGTGTCTAGGAGACATCAGATGCAGGGCTCAAGCCAAGGGCAGCACAAAGACCATTTAACCCAGGCTCACTTTGTCAAAAAGCCTCAAAGTTAATGACTGCTGCTGCCTCTAGACAAGGTTATATAATCAGTGTATATATATATATATATATATATATATATATATACCTGAAATATACTTATCAGACAAGCTTATAACTCAAATCCCATAACCAGATGTCCCTGACTGTATAGCCCTATGAATGTTTGTAATCTTGTGAAAAGTATAATTATTCTTCACCATACTTTTATGCCTTAGAAAGGAAGAGTGACTCCTTCAACCTCTGAGACACTCCTAGTGTCTTCAGCCTGGAGGTGAAGGGGCGCTGAAGCAAAAATTCTGGGAAGCTGTTTGCTGAATCCCCTGTTCAATTGCTGCCTCCCAAGATCTAGCCTAGAGCCTGGCATGGTGACCTCCATACATACCTACTGACTGGCTCTAGACAGGCCAGTGAAGCACCCAGTTCACCAGGGGAGCTTCACAGTCGAGAAGGGAATGGCTTACTCGGGCCTCACCCACTACAACTCTAGAGATAAAACCCAGAGCCAGCCCCACCCACAGCACGTCAGAGAAGCCATAGGATGTGCCAAGGGGGTGATGGGAATCCAGACCTCCTAACCTCCTTCAGATCAGCTGGTCTCTTCAGGTGGGTTTCTGTATTTGCTTTCCTTTGTGGTGGCTGCGGTTGCTCGCATTTAATTATCTTTTAAAAAGCAGCTTCCTTCTCGTGCCTCAGGAACCCCCAGGCCTCTGAGGCATCAGGGCCCACAGAGATAGAAAACTCCCCCTTCAGCTAGGTAGCGTTTTGGACTGAAAGCCTTGGAGGATTCTATGTAAGTTGTCTTCCCTTATAAGGCACACATTCTTTGCCTAATGACTTTCTTTTCCAGACTGCAAAACACTTTTCCAGGTCTAACATGTGCCCCAGAGGCAAGCAAACCAACTCTGTGTTGCTCACCACCCCTTAAGTTTGAGGCCCACACAGCCATCCGTGAGCACGGGGGTCACTGACTCAAAAAGGGAAAGACAAATCCACTAAGGGATGGCTTTCACTCCACCTCCTAGTCCTCATCTGAGAATTATTTCACCAACCCACAAAGTAGGTTTCCTAGATTAGAGAACCATCGGTCTTGGCTGCTAAGAGTAGGGTCTGTATTATAATTTGGCTCTATCTAATGAGATGGTTGGATGGCATCACCGACTCGATGGACGTGGGTTTGGATGAACTCTGGGAGTTGGTGATGGACAGGGAGGCCTGGCGTGCTGCGGTTCATGGGGTCGCAAAGAGCCGGACACGACTGAGAGGCTGAACTGAACTGAAAGAAATAATTCGCACACGCCCTTTCCCACCACCTGCCGGTTCAGCTTCTGGTTGCTGAGTGCCAGTTACAGGGTAAGCGCTTTCCCTTTCCTGGGCTTTGGTTCACGAAAGGGTTACCCTCTTCAGTCCCCACCCAATGCGCTGGAAATGACTTCCAGTGGCCAGCACGGACCAAGAATGCGTCCCCCACCCCTACCCCTGCCCTCGTCATCCACCTGCTAACTGCACTATCTGCTATCCCTTGGAAGCCCGAGCCGGTGTTTACAGGCACAATTTTGACTAAGTCACTCCATTTCACTTCCTGATTTGGTCAAGCCTGTCATCGCCTTTTTTAAGGCAAACCCATGGCCCTTTTCTCGATGCGAAAAAAAAAACAAAGGCAGCATTCTGAGCCAACGAGACCCAAACTGACAAGGCTGGTGACAGCAAGAAGGAAGATGTGTATACTGGGGACGTCAGAGGATCACAAACGCCTTGGCTTTTCCTGAAACCGAAGGCTGAATTCAACCCCATCACCAAACCCGCCTTAAGTCTAAATCACTACTCACCGGCGGCGTTTCCGCTAAGGCCAACAGATCAGAGGTTTCCGAGGCACGACTTGGATTCCTCGAGCAAGCCGGAGGTACAGCCCTCCTAAATTCCTTCCCCGACTCCAGAGATGCAGAGCGGCTGCCGTGTTGGGCTTTCCGAGGCCGCGACTCGATTTGCCAGGCCACCTGTCAGTCAAAAGCTGACGGGCATCAGGCGCCGGCGAGTGGCTTCGAGGAGGAGGCGGGCGGGACAGCCCTCGGTCATTGATTGGCTGGCACGCAGAACTCGCTGGACGCGTAGGGGGCGAGCCCTGGGGAGGCGGTGCCCTGCTGGAGCCCAGAGCTCACCAGGAGAGGGGCCCCTCTAGCGGTCACAGGGAGGACGTCGGGCTGGGTCTGTAAGGCTCCGGGTGACTTGCTCACTGCAACTGCCCTTATAGGTGAGCAGCCTGCCCGGGTGTTCCCCGCCACCCCCCCCCACCCCCGCCTTTACCCTCGGAGCCCTCTCCTGGGCTTTGCTCCTGCTGTTCCCCCACCCCACGATCTCACCAGGTATTCAAATCCTACACATCCTTCAAGGCCCGGTTCCCCCCAAAGCCGCGAGGCAAAAAACATCTCTCCTTGCCTGCCCTCCTGGAACACCTGTTGGCAGCACAATACACCCTCCCGGTAACATCCGCATCTCAGTTCAGTTCTGTCGCGAAGTCGTGTCCGGCTCTCTGCGACCCCATGGCCTGCAGCACGCCAGGCCTCCCTGTCCATCACCAGCTCCCGGAGCCTGTTCAAACTCATGTCCGATGAGTCGGTGATGCCATTCAACCATCTCATCCTCTGTCGTCCACTCCCCCCACTCCCACTTCGATCTTTCCCAGCATCACTGTCTTTTCAAATGAGTCAGCTCTGCGCATCAGGTGGCCAAAGTATTGGAGCTTCAGCTTCAGCATCAGTGCTTCCAATAGCAATACTTAAAGTCCTCCCATAAGCCTAGCACTTGATAAATGCTTCTGTAATGTACCACTGTAATAGTTCTGCTTCAAGGATATATTGAACAATATATCTTTGTTATTGAACTGATATATTGTTCAATATATTGAACAATCTAGCCGACATTTTATAAGAAGTATAATGGGGTACAGCCTTTAAAAATCGTGAATCACTATACTACACACCTGTAACATACAGCAACTATTCTTCAACTAAAAATTATTTTTTTGAAAAATAAAATGTATTTTTAAAATAATTAACAGGTACAGGGAGCTTCGCTTTTTCACATT